TAACCCAAACCAGAGCAGTTTATCTACTTTTCCAACAGTCACCATAAAAGTGTTCATACCAAAATAAATACCCTTTCCCACACCAGCAAGTTGTATTTTTAAAACTTAAATCTAATAGCAATTAAAGCTAGCCATACGTGTCATACTTTCCCAAATCTTTCATATTAACGTTAGCCTACAAGCCATTTAATGCCTCTGGCAGCTGGAGATGGGGAGAATTCAAGAATGCACGGTAAAATATTGGCTTTATTTATTAATTCAGTATAAATTTTGCCTCGGCTAGCATATTGGTTTTCATGAAAATCTAGCCATATCTGTGCCTTTCAATTCGGTGAGAAATTTAAGTAGCCTTGAAATCATGACGCGGGCAAAGACATTTACATACTACCCTCGCGGCAGCACACTTACGCCTAAGTCATCAGCCACGGTGTGAAGCAGGCAAGCAAAAGCTTGCCTTCTGCTCCGGTTCCACCGCAGCATGTCAGCAGGGAAGCAGAGGCAGCTTGGATTCAATCACCCTGCAAGCCTTCACCCTGGCAGTCTCTGATGGAAGAGCTACTCCAAGAAATCTTTCCTTCATCAACTCTCCTAAATTCCCTTTCTCTTCCTCTCATATCAATGAACCCAGATCTTTGGCCACCATTTTATGTTACTACATTTTTTAAACAAGCTGTAAAAATAGAAATCCCTGACTTGTATCTCCCTCTTCATTCTGAAAACTGGATTAAAAAGCAGAAATCTCTAGCCACTCCAGCTTAATTTGTCCTCATTTCCCTACAGATGTTTCTGATGTCCTCCTCTCAGCTCAGCCAACGACTCAGCTTTTTCTTCATGTTTCTTTTTTTCTTTCCATCTTTTTATCCTTTTCATTATCAAACATTCTTAGAAAAGATTATGTTAAAACTGCCAAGCTGATTAAAATGCATTAGTAGTAAATAAAGGGAAGACATCTATATCTAAACAGTAAAAGCACGGATAGCATCTTTCAGTGTTCAGATGATTGCAAAATCATCTTTGAACTTTGCATTGCTTGCAGGGGTCTCACTTCACTGGGAGGTAACCCATATGGACTACAGAGGTATCACATCAACATAATATTCTAGCAAAATATTTCTACCAGTAGTCAGTACATCCACATCAACAGCATGCAGCTTCAGAGGTCAAGATTATTCTTGAAGAATCACAGAATAAGCTACTAAAAACGCAGTTTGGAAAAATACCCAACATCTAGAACAAATTTCATAGCTTTATGTTGTATTATTACAAAACAGAGAAGAAAACACCAAATCCAGGAGTATTATACAGGCCATGCAAACTTACAGTTTGGTTAGTAACAAATGTGTTGGGTTTTAATTTAAAAAACAAAGATGTATTCAGTTTTACAGGCTTGCAATACTGAAAAAACTCCACTATCTGGGACAGCATTAGCTCCTATATATGTACTCAAGAAGAAACTAATGGAAGTCCTGCACATTTTTTCTTTCTATAATTTACAATATTCAAACTCAATAATTGCTTCTGACTTTCATTATATTTAAACAATCTCACACAGTTTTATTTGGTGGCCAAACTTGGCCCATAAATGTGATTTTCCCGCTAACAATTAATGAATCAAAAACACAAAGTCTGCTTTGCACATTCATGTGCTCAATTTTAAGGAGAAACAGAAAAGCATTTTTAATCTCATCAGCTGAACAAGCTTGATACAGTGTTAAGAGGAAAGAAATCTGTAACAATTTTATGATGCTTTTCACACTAAAGCAACACTTTAAGCATAATGATGTCATCTTGGCTCTACCAAAGTCAGCAACAAAGCTGCCATCAACTACTGTGAAGCCAGGACTGCAAACTTAAATCTTCCTCAATGTATCAGATAAGTGAATGCCAGATCTTGCAGACTTTCTCTGCCTGCAAAAGTGGAAGTCCTCCTGCTCAGCGTTCAAGCTCTATTTGATGGTCTTGCACACAGTTTGCAACACAGTAAATATTTAAAGCTTCAGACACAACCTCAAGCAGGAGCTCAGCCTTCCATTCAAGATAGTTGCTTTAAGTTAACTTTGACCTGATGCTGACAGGACTGTAAACATTAAGGGAGGAGCCAGATCATGTACATGTTACAAACAACAAGTCATTTTATTATTATTATTATTATTATTATACAAAAATAGGGTTTCTATATGGCTAAGGGGAGAGTGGAAGAGAAAGACACACGTGCACACATAAGCCTTTCTCCATTATCTTAAAGTTAAGAAGCCAGATCAGACCGGTAAGGTACAAGATTAACTTCAAAGTCACTTGATGAAACTGAATTAATAAAACCAAATGTTTTAAAAAAAAGATTGCAAATATTGTATCCATGCTTTTGATTTATCATAGCTTAAAGTCTGGTAAATTCCTCTCAAAACAGATTTATAAGAGGCATGACCTGTGTTCAGAAGAATACACAGGTTAAAACGTGGCATAACAAAAGCACGTATAAGTATGTGAAGCAAGCAGCTGCAAGGACATGGTGACATCCCTAATAAAGTCTGCTGACAAAGTAAAAGCAATTTAAAATTAACAGGAGTAGGTCAACATTTAGTCTGCTCAGATGTGGTCCCTCATGAACACTATCCTGCTTTTGACAGTGGTATGATGCCTAAGACTATAGCAAAAAAAGAAAAAAAAAAGCTTCCATATTAGTGTCCGAGTTTCCAACAGTCTGCATCTTGGCAAGTTTCTGATATTCACAGATGATGCATTTATATTTACTAGTCCTCAGTGAATTCTTTCACTCATCTTTAAATCCAGGTTTACTTTTACTTTACCAGAATGTAACAGACACAAAAATAAGCTAGGTTGGGGTTTTGTTTGAATGCGTTAATAAAACAGGGTGTTAGCAGACAGACTAAACGAAGTTGCACCCCTACCCTAAAGGCCTAACTCCGGTGCCCCAGACAGCCCTCTCACGGACTAGAGCAGTTTCAACTCATTACATGTCACAACACCAGTTTACGCAGGCAGGGTGAGAGGAAAACTGGTCCACCCACCAAGGAACAGCAGAGCTAAAAAAAAATCCAATTTTTTTTTTGCTTTTTTTTAATCTAAAAGTGAAAGCAATAGCACAATAAACAGGGCTCTGATTAGAAACCACCTGTATTATAACCAGGACAGAAAGCACAGTTTGATGTAATAATTCAAAAAATCATCTCCATCAGGAAATATTGTGAAAAAAGTGGAAGAAAATAAATAATTCTCTTTTCTCTTCAAATGTAAATTGTTTCTTTATATAAAAACTTGCAACTTGCAGCAGAAAATAAATCGAATTTCAGAAGCACTATTATTTAACAGCAAGATGTTAATGGTGCATATCACATTTTACTATAGATTTTCTGGGAGAATAGAGATAGTTGAGCTTTATCACACACCATAATTATTAAAGGTGCATTTGGGGCATCATATGCATTAATTAGCACAGTAAAACATATTTTTAGAGAAACTTTAACACACACAATTTTAACATTTGGAAATTTTTTTTTACTTTTTGGAGTTCTTTATTTATTCAGAGAGTATGTCCATGATTATTACTTATTGACATATTAACATTCTTTAACCAATAAAACAAGCAAAATTGTCAGCATCAGGCATCACACACACCCCTGCTGTTCATCTCAGCATGTTCTTGAAACATCAGAAAGCATTTGGCCAAGTAATATTAACAATAAAAAAAATCAAGGCAGGTTTTGGAAGGACACACAAGGTTGTGTGATAAAGCAAGCAAAAATCCAGAGTGGAAAACCAACAGTAGACCCTGACAAATCTTCCAAAATTCAGCTTTAGCTTGCTGAACAGCTTCAACTGCACTTATTTCCATGCAGGAAGGAAGAGAAAAGGAAGGTGTGTAGAGGTAGGGTCTGGCAAGATCATAGTCAAATCCCTTACACACAGGAATAGGGAGACAAAAAAAAAGCAAATAAAACCAAACACAACCCTCCCTCCCCGTCATAATAAGTAAATAAATAGCTAAACGCACACCCCCAACTCTAAGGATTAATCTTGTCATCTAAGAGAAACTTTACATGGACTTCAGGTGGAAAACAAAAAAAAAACAACAACAAAAAAATCACTGTACGCTACAGTCTATTTTAAATAAGAGTCAAATGCAGTTCCTTATATATGTATTTTTTGGATTCCTGACTTCTTACCTCTTGTGCATAAAACTACATGATCTAGAGTAAAACGCACAGGGGTGGAAAGCAGGGATGTTTGTATTGTAACCTCAGCCAGGTCACCTATTTACCAAACACTCTCAAGCAAAAATACTCACTTTAGTTGTCCCTGAAACAGGGACAGAAATGTTGTCAGACAGACAGAATGTACACGTAACTGCAAGATGAGATTTGACCTTTGAATATAGCCTAATATTGTGACAAATAAGGTGAAAACTGTGAAAGCTACATATCTGCACTCCCACTGCCTGCAGTCGGTGACAGAAACTGGACTCCGACATGGAAGGCAAGTGAAGGAAGAGAACTCGAGACAGTATTTTTCTTCTCTTAATTTGTTAAAGAAGTGTCAAAACTAAATAGTCTGTGTTCAGAAATAACTCCACTGATAACTGTAACTCACAGAGGGGATAGTCTAGACTGCTGCAAATATTAAGGCATGTATGATATCATCTTTTTTTTTTTCCTCCTCCTTTTTCAAGTTAACATTGTAGGAACCATGCTCAGAGGTGAATCGAAATTCTTCAGATCCATATACAATATCTGTTTGGAGTTGTTCTTTTTGGGGATGGAGGGGAAGGGGATAGTGGGACTTCTAAAAATTAATTTATTTTACCTGTGGTGTTTCATACATATAAATACACTTCAGTGAGAAAAGGTTACATTTAAAGTATTAAATTAAGCATCTGTTGAGACCATAATTAATTATCTTACTTGATGGTTTCTTAAAACAGAGACTGTAGACTTAACAAATAAGATCTGGAGGAAACATGCAGTCCTCCTTGTCTTGCATACCTGTGTCACTTCCAGATCCAGTTGATAACGCTGGCATGATTTAGTCTGCAGAGTATCACACAGGAACGTCAGACTAGCACTCTGCAGCCAAAAGGCAGAAATTAATTTCAGTTTAGCTGCTTGCAGCCAAGTTGTCTCCAAAGATTTATGCTATCTCCCAGTTTCTCCTAGAAAGAACAGAAACAGAATTTTACAATTAAGAACGTTGTTAAACTGTAAATTACTGCAGCTAACCAAATCCAATCATTATCACAAAATAAGCTTTTAAGACTTTCAAAACAAAGTGCTTTGCATTTATTTATGACTGGGGTTTTTTTCCCCTTCAGGTGAAACAAGTTTTGTTTTCTTCAGTCTAGCCTATAACCCCATTCTGCTGTAAAAACAATTTAACACATTTCTCTCATGTAAATTATACTCCAACTGCAGCATGTCAGGTATTTTGGAAATAAAGTCTAGGGTTATTTTATTAAAACAGTGAATAATTTAAGTCACTCGAATTTTGCTACTACTTATCCCTGGAAAAAAAAAAATTGCTTACTAGCATGATAATTTATTCAGTGTTTCTACTTAAGCTCCATTCAATCGTTTGCAGTTCATTTAAGATCCTACATGCATTTTTTATTTGTAACCTGTAAATATAATCTAAATTTTAACTGAAGTTGTAAAAAGTAGGACTGGGGCAAACACTTCTCTAAGGTAAATAGTAGTTTGATTCGTGGAGTTGATGAAACCATTATCATGCAGACCATGTAAAGAATTTTTCAGTAATTCACTACTACAAAGTCAGTATTTTTTTAAAGACATATTTTTTAATAATTGCACAGGCCTCCTGATAGTAAATTTTAGGTCTTTCTTTTAACCAGTTCTTGAGGAAAATTCAGAGCAAATGTTAAAAAAGTAAAAACTAATTTGAAATATAAGTGAAAGTATTTAAATTCAGGTTTGTTAAAACATGAACCTGGAACACAAACTTGTGAAAAGAAATTCAGAGTTAAGACTGGAAATGTTTACTAACAGCAGAGCAGGGGCTGATGTGCTTGCAGGGAGAAGGAAGGGAGATGGGGAAGTAGAAGTTTACAGAATACAAGGTTTTCTTCCAGATTTCAGTAAACAAAAAGGCTCCTTGAAGAAAAAAGCTTATGCTTTAGCGTAAGAAAATAAATAAAAGCATTTTGTTGCTGCTGTTGCTGATTTGTTTTTTGTTGTTTTTTTTTTAAACATATTCATATTAATCAGAATGACTTTTGAAGTCATCTTGGCTCTGAAAGTACATATTTTGGACACATTTGTACTTGGCAACAGTCCCGTGGAAGAGTAATATACAGGTGCTGCACATACTCTATGATGTTTAAAATTTTGTTTTTCACAAAAAAAAAAAATCCCCCACATTGCTAAAAGTATTGCAACATATTAAGAGCCATCCACAAGATTTTGTTCATTAAATTTTAAATCAGTTATTAGATATAAGCTAGTTGTTAGCTCGTCCCTAGGCCTAAGCCTATAGTTTAAATAGTCTGGCAACTTTTTAACGTTTTATTTTTTCTCCCCTAAGTATTCACCCGAAGAAAGATTTTACATGTCAGTTTTCAAACTCCAGTGAATCTGGGTTTTTTTTAAAGGCGGCAAATACAGCATAAGTTACAGCACTGGATAACTTCTTCCATGATGAAAAGGACCAAATAAAACTTAAAAACCTATCTATTACAGGTTTGGGGTTTCTTAGAGTTATAAAAGTTTGTGGTGAAGAAAAAAGTAAGTTTTCACTAAAATAGCATCAGCTTCCAAAAAATATTTTGACATTCTGCAAATCAACACCAAGTCCATTAACTTAAACTTTAAAACAGAGATAAGGAAGTTGAGTACTTCAGCGTGAAAGCTCATCTTATGATGACAAAGCTGTAAAACATCTATATGCAAAGCTAGCCAGGGTGCAGTTTAAAAGCAAAAAAAAAAAAGAGAGCTATCATAGCCAAGGACACACTGTACCAATTAAGAAGGAACATGTTCACTTTGCATTAATTCTGCTTGTTTTATTTTCAACACATACAAGCACTATAAAGGAGAAGTCATGTTCTAAGCTCCCTCACAGTCCCCAGCGTGAGCGCATGACTACAGCCGTATGAAGGATGGAGGCATTTTTAGTTTTCATATGTGTAAGAAACTGCTTAAAACAAAATGATTTACTATTAATAGGACATCTTTGATTTATACGCTTTGACTTTATAAGCTTACTTTATGAAAAAAAAAATCCAAACATGCCAGGCATTCTCATTAAAAGTGCATGATTATTAATCAGAAATTCAGGTCCCTTAAAAAAAGTTCACTGCGAAATGAGGAAGGTCTTCTTGATCTACATATATGTCATGTATTTAAAGTTGATCAGTTTCTTTGATTTCACAGTAAATCATTCAATATTAAAAAAATTCAAGCTCCTTAATATTTAAGAAACTTATATATGGCGTAAAGTTATTCCCTCCAGATCCTAAATATATATTAATGAAAAATAAATGACCTGATGAAATCCTTACCAGTAAAATGCTTAATATTTTGCTGGAATGGAACAGGGATACTTTTTCTTTTTCTTTTTCCTAACTAGCAAATTAAGCTACATTTTTGCAGTGATGATGTTATTTTCTTTGGCTCGCTCTATTTGAAATGCTTTGGAAGTCTCTGGCGGAGTCGAGCCATCGGCACTGCCGACTGCTGTATGGAATCGATTTGCTGCAGCACCGACAGACCAGCTGCCGCGGCCTGTCCTGCGAGGGATTACCGCGCGGGCTGTAGGCGAGGCT